TTCCTCAAAAAACTCAAATTTTTTTTTTTATTTTTAAAAAAACTTTTTTTTCCCCATTTTTCTTTCCCCAAACCCCCCCCCCCCCCCCCCCCCCAATTTTTTTTTTTTCGTTCCCACCACCATTTATACATTAAAACATATTTTCCCCAATTTTTTTTTTTTTCCTTTTTTTAATTCTTAAAAAACCCCTTTCCCCCCCCCCCCCCCCCCCCTTTGTATCCTCCGGAAAGCTTTTATTCTGTTTTTTTGGTGCGGTCGCCGGGGTTGGGCTTATCTAGAGGAACCGTGTCATACACACAGGCTCTTGATGTTGCGACCCCCACTTCCATGTTTTGATTTTGCTCTTTACTGCCGTGGCGGGGGTGTGCGGTGAACGAGGCTTCAGAAAATATCGACATCGACATCAGCTGCTGCTGCCGCCGCTGCTGTAGCTAGTGCTACGCCGTGCCGTCGTCCGTGTTATTTATTTCCATATGCCCGTGGGCCCATCGGCTGAGCGCAAAAGGTTCTCCGTGTGCCACTGCTATAAATTTGTAGTGCTGCTGCCGCTGCCTTGCCCTTGTCTTGTGGTATGTGATGGAAATTCGGTTTGTGCTTGTGCAGCGCGGAGTTGCTGGAGGAGTCCACCCGCAACAAGATCTCCATTTTCTGCCAAGTGCCTGTGAGTCAGTCAGTCTCGTGTTCAGCATGTGTTTTTTAGTCGCACTCATGGTACACAGTCGTTTCCGGCTGTTCTGTCCTTCTCTTTGATTCACATTTATTATTGCTACTATTCTTCTCGATGGGTCTGTAGTTGACCACGGGAGTTACTTTTCATTGAGGCAAAGATAAAGCACGGATGCAAGGGGAGGGAGGGAGAGGGCACGTCCCAGCCCGTGTGTGTGTCAATCACCAAAGCATTCGGTTTGAGAATAATATAATACATATGATCACTGAAATACTACCGGTTCGAGATGACACTGTTGAAAGGTGTTTGTTTAGTTTTGCCGCAGCAGCACATCATCATTTTTTTTTCCCGGCCCTTTGTCTTGGTGTGTCTTTCTTTCTCAGGCGACGAGCGTCCTCACGGTGTACGACGTGACGAACATCTACAAAGTTCCCCTCGTTCTCGTCGAGCAGGTGAGTTGTGCTGCTTGTCTTGTGTAACTTGCAAAGATGTACCAGTTTTCCTGTTACCCATGTACGATGTATTTTTTCTACATTTGGGAGGAGGCTGCTGGCCGAGCGTTGCATATCGGTAGACAGGTGAGTCGTTGCCCTTGTCTTGTTTAACGTTGCAAGCATGTACTGCTGATATCCTTGCACAATGTAATTTTTTGTTGTATATTTGGAGGAGGTTTGGTGGCCGAGTATTCACGTTTGTGCAGACGTCGTATCGAGAGAAGAATTGAGCAGCACAGTAAAGGGTACCTCGTACGTAAACGTCACTGATTCTGGGTTTTAGTCAACTGGTTGTCGTAAGTAAATGACTGATTGAATTCCTTCGGTTGTTTTTCTTGTTAAATTTCTCCTGTTCGTACACGACGAGGTCATTCAACTCGGGCAACAAACGCTTCTTCTCCGTACAGCAACACCAAGTTCACGTCATCATGCAATGACTTCAATTCCTCCCGCTGGTTGCACCACGCCCGACGATCGACCCCCAAATTCTGTCTAAAGTTCCGCCGCTCCCCGCTCCCCGCCCCCCCCCCCCCCCCCTCCTCTCTCTCTCCCCCACGCTTTTTCCTCCCTCCCCCCCCCTTCCCCCCC